ATGCCACTTAAGAGTCTATGTCTCAAGAGACTCACAGTTCCCATTCCTGCTCATGGAATCCCACCACTGTCATATGAACAAGCCCAGGCTAACCTGCTTGTGGTGAGTGACCACTAGTCCCATTATCCTCATTGCCCTGGTCAATCACCAGGTAACCACCAGGCATGAGATAAGGCCATCTTCATAGGAGCAAGCCCTACCAAGACCGAGTCAGACTCAGACTATCAAACCATCCAGATGTTCTGTAGTCTTATTGTTTTAAGTTATCCAGTTTGGGGATTGTTTGTTATGCAGCTTTATTTGCAGTAATGGATAACTGATACAGGCACTTGGCCCAATGCCTGCATGGAATATGTGCTCGATAAATCTTTGCAACACAAATGAATCAATGAACGAAAAAGAAGAAAATGTTTGTCTTGTTGGTCACGATCACTCCAACACCGAGCACAGTGCTTGGCATGTACTGTGGAATGGATGAGGAGAGGGTGACCGGTCCTATTATCCAGCCAAAGCAACCAAACGAAATGCTTTGGCTTTCCAGGACTTAGGAAAAAGATCTCCTGGGGCCCACGGAAGAAGGGAAGGTAGTAGTGTTTAGTCTATAATGGAGCAATGCTAGAGTCCATCTTGACCAGGATCTTTGGGCCGGCTGTGGCCTGGGCAGTGGTCTGTGTGAGAATCCAAAGAAATACTGGTGGAGGAGGGTTTGCACAACAGCAAGAAAGGACCCAGCCTGGCCATGAGGCTCTGGGTCTCTCCCTCAGGTTGGCTTTACACAGCTTCCAGAACCCTCTACCACCTGCCCCTCCCACTGTTCCTGACACCCGTGAGCCCCAGAGCTGCCACTCTCAAAATGTAGTTACCATCTGCCTCTGAGATGTCCAGGAAGCTAGCGAAAATGCAGAATCCTGGACTTGACTCCAAAACGGTTATACCGAAAACTCCACGGGTGGTGGCCAAGAGCCTGGATTTCAAGAAGCTCCACACTATCCTAGGGGACCAGTCCTAATACGTTGGAACATAGGGATCCTGGAACAGCCTGGGGAATAGAGGCTGGAGATGGGTGGCTGCCCTATCAGTCCTCACCACCACAGGAGAGATAGGTTCTCATACCCATTTCATGGAGGAGGACATTAAGGCTCAGAGAGGCACTCAGTGTTTCAGGCCGCCTGGCTTCCTATCAGCCACATTGTGCTTCCAACCCACCCACCCTGCCCCCCCACCAGCAGCATCCACTCAACAAAACACTTTGGTTTTTATCTTCCTCTTCTTTTAAGGTCATTTCAGGCTCACTAGCTCCTTGCTGAGGTGGTAATGGCTTATGGAGAATGAAGGCACCAAATGGGTAAGCGACCAGCTTTAGGTTCCTCCAGTGAGTGGAAGATTCAGTACAGGGGAGGTTTTCACACCATCTTTAAGCAACTGGAGTTGATTAAATGTCTCTTCTGCAGCCAAGCTAAATGATGTTTTCCAGCTTAGAGTTTTGTTTGTATGTGTGTGTTTTAAATAAATTTGGTAATTAAGCCACAAATGTTCCCAGCACACTTGGATATATTTAAATTACAGGCTGCTGATCAAACGGAGAAAATTCACAAACATGGACATACACGGTGCCTTTTGTCGGTTCCCCCACCCTCCTGCAGCACTCAAAGGGTTCCAGTCTGCTTGGTGGCCAATTCCAAGGCTGCCAGGGACAAGGGGAGGTGGGGGGAGGAGGGAGGATCGGCAATGACATGACAGGAAGTGAAGTCCCATGGTGAAAGACTGTGGTTCTTTTCTTTTACAAAAACATTTCATTGGAGTCTATAATTTATCTCAACAAGGCGGTTTTGAAAACACAAGTTGGCAAAAGGGATGTTTGTCTCTGCCCACTCACTGTGACGGGCCAGGGCCCCATCGCAGATCACTCTGAAGAGAGAACCAGGCGGTCTTGTGTTCACATCTCTCTTGGCCCTTTGCTGTGGGGTCCGTTTGGGCTCCTAGAGGCCTAGTGTCCACCCTCCTGTAGTCTCTGCCCACCCACTGTCTAACAACAAATAAACTGGAAGGGGTAAGGACAGACTTACATGTGAGGATGATCGCTAGGGGAGAGGAGTCTACTGTCCTAGAGAGAAAGCTGTGACCATAAGGTCTGTGAGTGTCTTCAGGGTCAGGCAAAAAGATTTTTTTCCTTTTCTTTTAGAGGCTGCAGAAGAGAACTAGGAAATGGGATGGTAAGGTGGCATAATGGGACAGGAGGTCAGATCACATTTTGCTTTGTTCTCAGGAGGGACTGTCTGCTGGGGGCGGGGGGGGGCAGAGTTCAGGGGCTGGAGGAAGGAGATAATTTAACCAAAAGTAGTTAAGAAGATTTTGCTCTAATTAGTTACTGGGGACAAGCAGTTGGGCTAATCACTTACAAGGCAAAGAATGGGAATTTGGAGGGTCTGTGTCTGGCCTTGCCATAGGTAAACACGGTAGGGAGTCTGTGAGTTTTCCCTAAGTCCCATGGAAAAGGGGATTCCTTGCAGCAAGCTGTTTTCTGGAACACAAAAGGGTGAGGGGAATTCCTCCAACCTTCCCTGTTTTCTAGGAACGTAGGGGCTCAGGCAAAACTCAGCATTGCTACCACGCAACTGGAGGTGAAAATTATGATAATAGTTCATCTCTAAGTTTAGTATTTTTTAAAAGATTTTTTAAATTTATTTTATTTGAGAGAGACAAAGAGTGAGAGCAGTGAGAGGGGCAGAGGCAGAGGGAGAGAAATTTGTTTTTTTTTAAGATTTTATTTATTTATTCATGAGAGACCTAGAGACAGAGGCAGAGACACAGGCAGAAGGAGAAGCAGGCTCCATGCAGGGGGAGCCCGATGCAGGACTGGATCCCAGGACCCCATGATCATGACCTGAGCCAGAGGCAGACGCTCAACTGAGCCACCCAGGTGCCCTGGAGAGACAGTCTCAAGCAGACTCGGCACTCAATGCAGAGCCTGAGGTGGGGCTCAATCTGATGACCTTGAGATCATGATCTGAGCTAAAACCAAGAGTTGGACACCCAACCGACTGAGCACCCAGGCACCCCATAAGCTTAATTTTATTTTAAAGATCTTATTTATTTATTCATGAGATACAAAGAGAGAGAGACAGAGAGAGAAGCAGGCTCCATGCAGGGAACCTGATGTGCGACTCGATCCCAGGACTTCAGGATTATGCTGTGGGCCAAAGGCAGACGCTAAACCCCTGAGCCACCCAGGGATCCCCTAAGCTTAATATTTTTAAAGTGCTTTGAAACTGCAAGGTTTGTTGTAAATGCTCAACAAATATTTGTCAATCTCGGGGATCCCTGGGTGGCTCAGCGGTTTGGCACCTGCCTTTGGCCCAGGGCACGATCCTGGAGTCCCGGGATTGAATCCCACGTCAGGCTCCTGACAAGGAGCCTGCTTCTCCCTCCTCCTGTGTCTCTGCCTCTCTCTCTCTCTCTCTCTCTATCATAAATAAATAAATAAATAAATAAATAAATAAATAAATAAATAAATCTTTTAAAAAATATATTTGTCAATCTCTCTTACCTGTGAGATCTTCAAAGGCAGGGGCTGAGCTCACCTGTGTTTCCTTCGGTACGAGCACACTACCTAGAACCCACTGATCTGTTGAATTGGCCTCGAGCAAGCCCTAGTCTCCTTGTCTATAAGACATCGTAATCGCCACCTAATAGGGTTCTTAAGGTAATTAGCTAACCCGCAGGAGTCTCAGGGCCCCAGATGGTGCCCGACACATCCCTGGTGAGCAGTGACAAAGACTCCCTCCTTGAACTAACTTTCATCAGGCTCTTCTGATTCCTTTCTCTGACTAGGCCTTGACCTGGGACACTGTCTTCAGTTTGTTGAGTCCAATTTTTTAAAAAAATTTATTCATGAGAGACACAGAGAGAAAGAGGCAGGGACACAGGCAGAGGGAGAAGCAGACTCCCTGCGGGGACCCTGATGCGGGACTCGATCCTGGGACTTCAGGATCATGACCTGAGCTGAAGGCACTCGATTGCTAAGTCACCCAGGTGCCCCTGTTGAGTCCAATCTTTTCAAGGCTCCTGTTGGGTCAGCTCAGCAAATCCTCCCCCAACCGTTCACATCTGATCTAATTCCTTATCCTCTACCCTTGCTGTCCAATGACGCTGGCCCGGGCCATCGATTTAGCAAATTCCCCTTGCCCTGAGGCTGTCTCTTAGTAATTCCCCATCCACTGACCCTGCTTGCTCCTCGGCTATAAATCTGCACCTGTCTCCGGATACGTGCAGTTGTATCCCGCTTCTCTACCACAACCCGCCCCTGCAGGGGGACGCAGTCTGCCCTGCCATCTTTGACAGGTGTCATGAATATTTTTTTTGAGGCCAGGAAATAAATTCCCTTCTCTTCCCCCCTCGGACTGCAGGCCCAGGACGAGCAGAACTTTCCGCTGCTTCTGTTCAAGGCCTCAAAGGGCCTGAGTCCCTGGAAGCCACAGGCCCAGCGCTGGAAACCCAAAGTCTCCGTGGTGCCCACCCCCTCAGGGTCAGGGTCAGGGTCAAGGTCAAGGTCAAGGTCAGGGCCATGTCGGCAGGAGTGAGGAGTCTGACTTCCCCACTGGAGCCCAGGGCCTTCGCACTGCCACGGGCCGCAGATGCAGCACTTGCGGGTTCAAACGGAGGATCTAGGACTTTCTCAAAGCACCAGGATTTGGGGCTCTGTAAGCCGCTGGGCACGGGCTGACCTCTCTGCAAAGCAGGAACACGAATCATCTTAGTTGCATGGCTTAGATGCAATGGCGGGCGCGAAGCTGACGAGCTCAGGAAGTTATCAGAGCTGAGGAGCTCGCAGGTGACCCCAGGAGGGAGGAGAGACCGGAGAGAGGCCCGCACCCTTGCTGGCAGCCGGCACCCGCGGGTCTCGGAAACACTACGGGACGGGGGCGGGGCCGAGGGCGGGGCCGAGGGCGGGGGCGGGGCCGCGGCATCCACAGCTCGGCGCTCGGCTAGGCACCCCGTGCTGCTCAGACGAGCACCGAGTGATCGATACCCCGGCAAGCCTGACTACCCGGGCGGAGGAGAGGGCCGGAGAGTTCCGACCGAACCGAACAAGTGATCGCCAGCCTCCGGGCAACTCGACACCGCCCGTACTCGAGACAGGTGAGTGTGAGCAGCTCCAGAGGGCGGACGGCTCTGGCTCTTCAGAAGCGGAGGGGAGAACTGCGCAGGCGCAGTGTTAAAGACGAAGCGGCCGGGGGGGGGGGGCGGGGGCGGGAAAGACGGCCTCGCGCGTGCGCCTAGGAAAGCCCCGGGGGCCGCTCTGTCAAGTAGCGTCTCTGGGGCGTGAGTGGGAAGGGAAAACAGAGTCGGCGCATGCGCCGTGACAACGCCGTTGTGCGGCTCTCCAGCTTTCCCGCGCTGCGGCGGGGGGGGGGGGGGGAAGGCGCGTAGACCCCGCGCGTGCGTGATGCTCACCTTTCGCCTGTCGTTTCTTTTTGCGCATGCGTGAGGCCTTCCGGGGGTGGGGGGGGATGTGCGCCTGCGCAGTTCCCGGGGCCAGGGGACGGTCCCCGTCGGTGCAACGCTAATGCGCCTGCGCGAGTTTTTATTTCCTCGGCAGGTATCTATCTCCCTGCGGTTGCTTTCGGGCCGAATCTACTTGGTCGTCGGCCTGGAGCGGGGCGGGCTGCACACCGGGGGTGGGCCGCGAGCAGTGGCGGCCCGGGAAGGGAAGGGGCGTGAGGCCTCGGGTGCCCCGCTGGTGTGGCGCACCTGGAGGGCAGGGATTTCTGGGTGGGTAGGTGTTAGCGCCGCGCGCAGGTGTCCCGCGGAGGTAGGTCTGTGTGCCCCGCAGCGCCGAGGTCGGGGAGGCAGCTGTGCGGCCGCGCCGACGCCGACCCCTTAGGAGGCCGCGGGAGGTACCCCGGCGCAGGTGTGTAGGCCGGCCAGGGGCCAGGTGTTCGCAGACCTCTCCGGAAAGCTTCCCAGAGCTCCCCGGGAAGCTCCTGGGGTCTTCCGCACGGCTTTCGCGGCTGGATGGTGCCGCAGTAAAATGGGAGAGATTTCAGAACCCGGTGGGCAGCCTGTCCCCAGGAAGCCGGATGGAGGCTGCTAGTCTGGAAGGCACCCGGGGAAGGCTGCTCGCTCGGGCGGTTGGGGTCAGCCCGAGGCCTGGGTGAGCCCTCCGGGCTGGGGTGGCGCTCTCTGACACCGCGCGCCCATCGCCCGCTGCGAGGCCTGCCGGGGTTCCCCGAGAAGCCACTTAGGGGACTACCCCGGGAGCTGGCTGCTGTAGGTTGGTTGGTTGGTTGGTTTTTAATATTCTATTTGTTTATTCATGAGAGACACAGAGGCAGAGAAGCAGGCTCCATGCAGGGAGCCCGACGCGGGACTCGATCCCGGGACTCCAGGATCACGCCCCGGGCCCAAGGCAGACGCTCAACCGCTGAGCCACCCGGGGATCCCTGCTGTAGGTTTTTAAAGATGATTTAAGAGAGAATTCTGGGATGTGACGGGTGACCTCAGGAGGCTTTATTTTGCAACCAGCGGAACCCACTCGGGCTGTCCGCCAACGGAAAACCGGCTTACTTAGGTGATGTGCTCCATGCAGATGGTGGATTTAGGAAGTGAGTGCAGGCTTCATAGAGCCTCTGCTCATCTCCTTTGTGTTTCATACAACCGACAAGAAGCCTTTTATAACATTCGCATTAGGCGGATTTACAAAGGTTAGTTCATACAACCTTTACGTGACCCCCATGCCAAGAGTATCGCTTCATGTATCAACAGGAAGGCTTTTTATAAGAAGCCAAGACACACTTGGCAGGATGAGCACTGGGTGTTATGCTATATGTTGGCAAATTGAACTCCAATAAAATATATATATATATATATGTATTAAAAAAAAGAAGAAGCCAAGACACAGCCCACCAAGAGAAGCTATTCTATGGGACCTGTACCTGACCTCCCGCTGAAAGCTGTTCCATGTTGGCGCTCAAAAGTCTGTTTACAAAGGCAGGACACAAAGACCACTCCAGCTGTTTCTGTACCTGACACCTGCACCCTCACTTCAAAAAAAAGTCTATAACCAACATGAGGTCTCTAGGCTAATACCTGTTGGAGTTTAGGAGACTGACTTTAACGTGATGATATAAGGCCCCTCGAGCTTTTTCATATGGCCTGTAATTAGGGTGAGCATACCTCTCAGTTGGCCTGGAATAACCCTAGTTTCTGACTTTTCCAGTCCTAAATTGTAAATACTTAGGCAATATTAAATAAATACTGAAATTTACATATATGCGAAAGAAAGCTACTAATAGCACTCCAGATGCTCAACTTGTGTAAAATGAAAATTCCTGCTTACAGAAGTGAAAGTTCCAAGCAATGAAAAACAGCATTGGAGGGACACCTGAGTGGCTCAGTGGTTGAGTGTCTGCCTTTGGCTCAGGTCATGATCCTGGGGTCCTGAGATCGAGTCCCGCATCAGGCTCCCCGCACAGAGCCTGCTTCTCCCTCTGCCTGTGTCTCTGCCTTTCGGTGTCTCTCATGAATAAATAAATAAAAATCTTTTTAAAAAGAAAACATTGGAGAAAATCGTGAGAATAAAAGATTTTACAAGAGAAAAATGTATGCCAAGCCAAAAAAAAGGCCTATATTTAACATCCTGGTTTGTCAGAAATATTCTATAGTTAACCCTCCTATATCTGACCACCAGAAGACTGTTTGGACAACCTCTCCTTACGCCCTTTTGTTTTTTTGTGGAACTCTAGGAGGCCAAATTGAAGACCAATCTGCAATACCACTCTGAAATACTGTTTCACAGTCTATTCTTGACCCCCTCCCCTGGAAGACTGTTTAGTGTAACCTTTTGTAGAAAGCAATTCAGTGAGGAATTCTGGGAAGCCAGTCAATAAAGCCAGGCCACAGGCTGCTCAGGGTGATGCCTTTCTCTGGAAAACTAATATAATTATCAAGCAGCTTTATTTGTCAGACTGATACATGGGGGATGTCAGGCCGATTTGTAAAGCCAGGACTTGAGGCCGTTTAGGTGGGTTTCATGTAGCCTATACCTGACATTCAGTGGAGGGCTGGTTGTGTGCTGGCCGCTGCGTGTAGCCCACGTGAGGCCACCTGCTCAAGAAGATAGTTTCCTACAGTCAGCAAGAGGGTGTTTGACCCAGCTGGCAAAGGCCCTTTGTCCCGTAAGGCCGCTTCCCATGGTAACAGGAGCTAACGGGAAGGTTAATTAGTAGAACATAGCCTGGTTCCTGGTGCTCCGAAGACACCACAGGAGATAGGTTGGTTTGTGAAACTAAGACAAAGCCTGGGTTTCACCTGACCCCCAGACACGGGCCCAAAGTATAAGGAAGCCTGTGTTTGAAACCGTTCGTGAGTCTACTTTGGAAGGCTGACGTAGTAGGATGTGGCTCCTCCACCAATGGCTGCTTGATACGGCAACTCTTTAGAAGGCTAAATAATGAGAAGTTCTGAGAAGCCGTAAGATTAGAATTACTGTAAGATTACTCAGATAATGACCAGCATGCCACCTTCTCATGCAAAGTTGGTTCTGCTGCCAACGTAAGGCCCTCTGGGAGGCTAGTAGTTTGTTGTTTTTTTTTTTTTTGTTTGTTTTTTTCCTAAGATTTTATTTTTGAGTCATCTCTGCATCCAACGTGAGGCTCAGACTCATAGCCACAAGGTCAGGAGTCCCACGCTCCACCGACTGAGCCAGCCAGGCGCCCCATGGAGGCTCGTATTTTAAGGTCAATCATGAGGCCCCTTGGGAGGCCATGCTGGAGGCTCATACAGAGTCAATCCGAAAAAAAATCATTTAGAAAACAACCTCAGAGCTATCCTGAAGCATCTCCACCTCTGGAAAACTCTGTCACATAGTGTCACCATAAGTATCTCCAAAGACCTCCTTAAGGCTATTCACTGAGGAACTCTGGATTAGAAATTAGTTCCTAAAGCTGTGTTATGTGGCTAAGAGGAGACCGTTTTGTGCAGCCTACCTGAGGCTCTCTCCGAGAAGGCTATCTGACATGGCCATCTGTAGGAAGCCCTCTCCAAGGCCAGTTTGCAGAGTAGCCCATAGGTTCCCTGGGGAGGCTGGTTTATGGAGACCAAACGAGACCGCCTTGGGAATCCAGTTTGCAGAGCAGCACACCAGGCCACCTGGAGAGGCTCGCTCTGTAAGGCCTTTGTGGGCTCTGTGAAGGGCTGTTTTAGAAGGTCACCCTGAGAGGTCACTTTACAAAGTCTGTAATCTGCATCCCAGGGAATCAGTTTATATAGCCCATTTAAAATCCTCTGGGAAGCCAATTTTTAAGGCCACTAAGAGACCAGTTTAGAAAGCTGGTATGTAAGGCCCCAGTGGAAGCCATTTTTATAGTAAGGCAAATAAGTGGTCTTCTGGGAAATTTTTTTTTAATAGACATTTGAGAGAAGGCAAGATATGAGGTCTTTTGAATACTCGAGATTTCTCAAGGTTGCTTCCTAAGACACGTGGGTGGCTCCCAGGAGGTGATGAGCCGTGAAGCCACCAGGGAGGCCAGTTGATGGGCACCCATGCAGTTTTGGGGTGGGTAGCAAATAAGGCCGTGCTGGAAGGTGGGACTGTGCAGCTCTCCCAAGAAGGCTGTTTGACCAACACAAAGACATTTACAAATCCAGGAGGCTAGAGATAGAAATCATCCTGGCAGGTGATGGCCAGGCCCCTCGAGGCTCTCTGTCCCATCATTCATGGGGCCAGTGGGGAAAGATACCCCTTGCGCGCCAAGGCCCGAGCTAGGAGATACAGGTCCAAAAACGGATTCAGCCCTCACCCCGAAAGCTGAAGAGTGTTCTGGTAAACGCTGCCACGTTCTATGCTGCTTAGTCTCCGAAATCTTAACTGTTCATATCTGTAAAACCACACATCATGAGATAAGGAGGAATAAACACATCATGAGATTAGGAGGTGACGGACATAAAACACGGAGCATTGACACGGCACATAGTAAAGTCACCTCATTTGTCCCTGGACAAAATAAGATAGGGTTGTAGGGGAAATGATCACATACTTTCCTATCCACCTTACGCTGTGAGGTACAAATCAAATGAGAGGAAGAGGCAAGGTGGGGGAGCCATGGAATAGATGGAGTGAGAAGAGCTCTACATTATTGCTACAACTTTAGGACAGGCCCCAGAAGAGGTACTTCAGAAATAATGACACACAAGAAAGATGGGTCCTCTCCTGTCGTGAAGTGATGGGATTTTCTCATCTGTTAAGTGACAGTAATCCCTCCATTACAGAGTCTTCTTGAGGGTTGAGCACCCCAATTCCCAGCTTTGTCACAGGCTGGCTGGAGATGGCATGGCACCATTCCTTTACCTATATAAGATCATGGAAGTGGGGGCCAGACGGCCCGAGTTTTACATCTCTGCATCGCCTCTTCCTAGCCGAGTGCCTTGGGCAAGTCATTTAACTTCTCTGCCGTAGCTCCCTTATCTGTCAAGTGGAGATAAGGATACTTTCTTAGGGTTTCTGTAAGAATTAAAAAGTGCGGGATCCCTGGGTGGCTCAGCGGTTTGGCGCCTGCCTTTGGCCCAGGGCGCGATCCTGGAGACCCGGGATCGAATCCCACGTCGGGCTCCCGGTGCATGGAGCCTGCTTCTGCCTCTGCCTCTCTCTCTTTCTCTCTCTGTGACTAACATAAATAAATAAAAATTAAAAAAAAATAATTAAAAAGTGCCTGGAGCACACCTGCCTTACAGTAACTAGTCTGTAAGTATGTTCTTGGCTTCACGGGGTCGGGGTCGTTGTGAGGTTTCGTGAGGTAATCATGTAATACTCCCATTATTCTGTCTGTTGTTCCTCGTGAGCTGGGGAGGAATGAGCTGAAGTGGAGCCGAGAGGTAGGGAAGGGGCTGTCCAGCCTACCTTTAGGGACCACACCTCTAGCATTCATTCATGTGTCTTCACTTCACTACCTGCTGCTGACTTCCTCATACACGGTGCTAAAGGAAGCCATGTATTTCCTCTCGCTCTGTTGTGTGGGTAACAGATGAGTGCCAGGGTGTCAGGGAAGTCTGGATAGGGGAGTTTATTAGTTATCTACTGCAGCATAACATCACCATGAAGTTAGTGGCTTAAAACAACACATTTATTATCTTAGTTTCTTTGGGTCAAGAGTCTGGGTGTGGCTTCGAGGGGCCGTCTGTGTCACGATCTCACAAGGCTCCAGTTAGGGTGTCAGGACAGAGTTCTTATGATGCGAAGGCCCAATTAGACAAGGATCTAAACCCCTGTGGTGGTTGGAACAGTTCAGTTCCTGGGGGCTGTTGGGCCAAGGGCCTCCGTTCCTGGCTCGCTGCTGGCCCTGAGCCGCCGCCATCTGTTTGCCACGTGGACATGTCCAGCATGGCCGCTTGCTTCATCAGTGCACGCCAGCCAGGAAGGCAGTAGGGAGAGTCTGCTCGCCCTGGAAGTTACAATCTCATGTAACCTGATCGAGGGGCATCCCATCACCTTTGCCATCTTAGGCCAAAAAACAAAACCAAAACATAAAAAATGACTACACATATCAAACTTGGACATCTGTTGGTTAGAAGAAAATCATAATGGTTTTCTATTGCTGCTCTGACAAATTACCACAGCCTTGGTGGCTTGCGGTTCTCTAGGTTAGAAGGTCAACACAGGACTGACTGGGCTAAAATCAAGGTCTTGGCAGGACAGCACTCCCTTCTGGAAGCTCCAGGGGAGAATCCCATTTCCTTGCCTCGTCCAGCTTCTAGAGGTTTCCACATTCCTTGGTGTGTGACCCCCTCCCTCCATCTTCAAAGCCGGCAACACAGCATCTCTCTGATCCTTCTGCAATCACCTCTCCCTCTGACTCTGACTTTAGACAGGAAAGATTCTTTCAAGGACTGCTATATTAAATTGGTGGGCCCACCCACATGATCCCGGACAATCTTCCCATGCCAAGGTCCTTATTCCTAATGGCATCTGCAATGACCATTATTCTGTGTACTCACTCAGTTATAGGTCCTGTCAGCACCCAGGAGGAGGGAATTGGATAAGGGTGTTAATAACAACAGGAGGCAGGGACCACTGGGGATTGCGGCTCTCCCCCTCGCAGGGCGTGATGCACCTGATACGGCTTCATCATAGGCACGTCTCCATTTGCCTTCACCATCCACCAGGGGATATTGGGTGTCGATGACTTATGTGGGCGTACTAGGGTCCTCTCACTTAACCAAAGACGCCAACCCTGGCTGACATAAGGAAGAAGACACTAATCAGAAGGCCACTGAGGCCGCAGAATGAATGGAACCTGGAAGGGTGCCCTTGGGAGAGAACAAGAAGGAAAATGGCCCTGGAACCTAGGAGTCAGGGGCGCTCACCGTGAGGCCTTAGCAAGGACACCCTGGTCTGGAAGCAGCCAGTGGGAGACAATGAAGAGATCAGCTGTCTCCAGTCCAGTTGATCTGCCTAAAGTTGACATTCAGGGGAGGCCATTCAATGGCCCAGCTTTGCACACGTACTCACCACTTGGCAGCACCCCTCCTGACCAACCTCAGTGGGCAAGATGAAACTCCTCAAGAGGAAACGGAGGTGTGTTAAAGAGAAAAGGATTTTGAGCCACAAAACTCAGAAATACCCTCTGCGGTCTGCGCATCCATTTCTTCAACAATAGGAGTGTCTGCGTCAGAGCCAGCCACCTGCTCTAACATACATCGACCATTTAGCGCAAAACGATACAAGTTATTTTTGGCTCCTGAGCCTGTTCCAGCAGGGGTGTATTTTGCCTGGTTAGGTGGCTTCCATGGCTCTGTCATCCCCTACGGCCCCCAAATCCTTCACTTCCCACCAGTGTGTAGGGAAAGCTTAGAGAATCTTATAGGAGGTGTGCAGGGGCCAGGCCTGGAAGTGGCTCCATTGCTGACGTTGGTCACACCTAATTGCAAGGAAGACTTGGAAATGTAGTCTTGTGTGCCCAGGAAGAAGATGAAATGGATTTCGGTGAGCTTGAAGGAAGCATTTGTTTTTGTAAATAAAGTTTTATTGGAACGCAGCCACGCCTGTTCGTTTACATACCATACACGCTACAGTTGCAGAGCAGTACCAGCAGTGACTACCGCCTGCCAGGCCTGAAATGTGGATTCTCTGGCCCTCCACGGGAGAAGTCCTTGACCCCTAGCATAGCACAGCCTCCGCAAAAAGCACGATGGTCCCTATTTCTTGGCATCAAATGAGATAGGGCATATAACAACTGCTGGTATACCTAGCACGTAGTAGCACAGGTGAATCATCAGTTGTGAGCAATTATGAACCTGTGAGAACCTAATCACATATTAGCTCTTCTGCATTAGGACTTGCCTGCCATCCATATATATTCCCACCAAAAGCACCAGCTATGCTATTTTTCCTTTCTTTGTAGGTTTTATGTATTTCCAGGTTTCTTCCTGTGAAGTCAAGATCTCATTCCTTCAGTAGCCTTAATTGAGTGCCTATTATGAGCTGGGCTCTAGGGAAATATAGAGAAATAAGACCTGTTCTTGCCCTGGAGAAGCTCACCAGCTAGCATTGGAGAGACGGACATGTAGGCCAGTATTCATAGTACATTGGGACAAGAGCTGTTAAGATAAGTCAAGAGCTGTCCGAACACACAATACTGTCAGAGTCCTGGCAGGCTTCCCAAAGGGCATCATATAGAGTGGGCCTTAAAGGTTGGGTAGGAGTTTGCCAGAGAGGCAGAGTGTTGGAGGCATTCCAGACAAGGACAGTACATGTTCCTCTCTGAACACTTATCCAGTGCCCACGGCAAGTCTGATACTGTGCCCCAATGTCGTGGTGACTCCAGACAGACGAGGGCCCTGCCTGCAGTTTGTACCTGGCAGAGAAGGCCACTGTAGAATCATGACACATGAGATGCTGTCACAAAGGACACGTAATGGGAAGCCATGGGAGCCCGGAAGGGAGGAAGTCTGTGTGGTCTGTCTTTTTGGAAAATAACTTTATATATTTTTTATTTTTTTATCATTTTATTAAAATTATTTTTTTCATCATGATAAGTGCACACTTTAATCCCCATCACCTATTTCACCTATCCCTCCCTGCACTCCCCTCTGGTAACCATCAGTTTGTTCTCTATAGTTAAGAGTCTGTTTCTTGGTTTCTTTCTCTCCTTTGTTTGTTTGCTTTGTTTATTAAATACCACATATGAGTGAGGTCATACAGTATTTGTCTTTCTCTGACTGACATATTTCACTTAGCAATGTATTCTCTAGCTCCATCCATGTCATCGCAAATGACAAGATTTCATTTTTTATGGTTGAATAACATTCCATCACATACATGCACGTGCGCACATGCACACGTATGTGCACACACACACTATATCTTCTTTATCCACTCATCAGTTGATGGACACGTGAGCTGCTTCCACAGTTCACCTATTGTAAATAATGCTGCAGTAAACAAGGGGGTGCATGTATCCCTTTGATTTAGCATTTTTGTGTTTTGGGGGGTCGATACTCAGTAGTGGGATTGCTGGGTTGTAGAATAGTTCTATTTTTAATTTTGAGGAACCTCCAAACTCCTTTCCAGGGTGGCTGCACCAGTTTGCCTTCCCACCAAGATGGGAATGAAAGAGGGTTCCCCTTTCTCCGCATCCTCACCAACACCTGTTATGTCTTATGTTGTTGACTTTAGCCATTCTGACAGGTGTGCGGTGAAATCTCATTATAGTTTTGATTTGTATTTCCCTGATGATGAGTGATGTTGAACATCCTTTTCACATGTCTGTTGGTCATCCATATGTCTTCTTTGGAGAAATATATCTGTTCGTGTCTTCTGTGCATTTTTTAATTGGCTTGTTTGTTTTGTGAGTGTTGAGTTGTGTTGGTTCTTTATATATTTTGGATACTAACTAACCCTTTATCAGTTACATCATTTGCAAATAGCTTCTCTCATTCAGTAGATTGCCTTTTAAGTATCTATTTTTTAATGCTCGGTGGTTGACATTTTGGCCAGTGAATGTCATCATAGAACCAGCTCCCCCTCCCCATCCCCTGCCCCAGTTTGATTTTATGAAAATCTACAAATGTGTATATTTAGGTGTGCAAGATGATTTGTTGCTCTAACTGTTCTTTCTTCTCCCACCACCTTCATCTGACTAGACTGGTAGAGGGCCCCATGGCTGAAGACACCCAAGAGCCCCTGGCAGGAGCTGGTGCCCTCCGGGAGGCCCTCCGGGCGCTCCTGCCCCCCACTAAAGAGGAGCTGGCCCTGGAACTTGGGGAGAACGTGGAGCGCAGCGTGGTGCAGCTGCTGCAGGAGGCCGCCGAGCTCTTCTGCGGGGGCTGCCGGAGTGAGTGCCTGCAGGCCAGCGAGGCCATCCTGGACTACTCCTGGGAGAGACTCAACACCGGGCCATGGCGGGACGTGCACAAGGACTGGCGCCGCGTCTATGCCTTTGGCTGCCTCCTGAAGGCTGTGTGTCTGTGCGAGGAGCCCGGGGACACCACCGCAGTGGCTGCGGCCCTGAAAGTCTGTGACATGGGCCTGCTGATGGGTGCGGCCATCCTTGGGGACATCCTCATTAAAGTCGCTGCCATTCTCCAGGCGCACCTCCGCTCAGGAAAGAGGCCTGGCCCAGCCCAGGAGCCACCCAGCATGAAGGTATCTGGGTGAGATCACCACTCACCACACCTCAGGTGCCCCTCCCCCCCCAACCCCATTTTTTCTAGAAGGAAGGAGTCAGCTGTCCCCAGGGGTGAGCCTTCATGGCATGCTTACCTCTGGCTGAAAATAACATCTCTGTCGATTTAGAAATGGAAAGGCTTGGTCTGTTTTCTCAATTCTTCCCCCCACTTTCTACAAAAGCGGTGCCCCTTTCAGGAGAGAGGGCGGGTGGAAGCCCTGTGGCCAAGAGCAGCAGCTCGAGGTGCTCGTGCAGGCCAGAGCTGCAGGCAGCCTGTTGTGGTCAGCTGGCTGAAGCGTCACCCGTGTCTCAGGCTGCCTGGCTCTCTGTGCTGCTGAGTTGGGGCGAGCTACTTCCTGCAGCTGCCTTCTGGCACCGTGGCTGATCGGTCCCGGCCTTGAGGTCCTGGCGTAGGTGGCTCCTGATGTCTGGGGCCGACGAAGAATAGCCTGCAGAGCCGAGGGTGGGTGCAGACAGGGCCTCGGGTACCACGCGTGCAGCCCTCACCTATGAACCCCTGGGTGTATCTCTTCCCCGGGAGGAAATAGGGCTGTTACACAGGCATGTGGGGAAATGTTCAACCTCCTCTGTGGTTAAACAAAAAAAAAAAAAAAAAAAAGGCGAGAACAGAGGTAGCCATTTTTGGCTATGAGGTCAGCAGACGAGGTTTTCCTTACCACCCGGTGCTGCCGAGGATGCCAGGGGGACCGCCGGCATAGTGTATTGGTTGACCTTTCAGGAGCAGCGTGGACATGCAGATCCAGGGGCAAGTGCCTGTGTCCTCAGACCCAGGGGCTCCCTTCCCCTTGCCACATCTGTCCCAAGGGAACATGGAGGTGGCCCCGTACCCAAGACAGAGCTCGTGGTGTCAGTGGCCTTGAGGTGCGTGTGTAGCTAATGGGGGGGTAGCTCATGCTCTGGACTCGGTCTGCCTGGCTTCATGTTCCCAGAAGCTCCCCAGTGTCTAGGCCCCTCTGTGCCTTCTCCATCCCCACCCCCCATTCCCAAGCCTGTAAGGGGGGTTTACTTAGCGACTCTGGAGCACCAGCAGTGGCCCAGATGTGCCAGGCGCTGAGGGTACAACACAGAAGGGCTCCTCCTGGAGCCTCAGTTCTAGGAGGCTGTAGAGGAACGTCATCTCCCTGTGGTGAGAAAGGTGAGGGAGGTGGCTTTGCTCACATAGGGTGGGCAGGGAGGGCCTCTTTGATGAGGGCAGGTGTGAAAACCAAAGCAGGGGAATACCAAGGCCGAGAACAGGCAAGTGCGAGGCCTTGTTTCTGGCCCGCGGGGGCAGAGGAAGCAGACACCCACCCCCGCCAATGATCCTGGGTACTCTACATGGGAGGTCCCGTCTCCCAAAAGCATAACAGATGAGGAAACTGAGGCCCGAGAGAGTGACTTGCTCATGTCACTCAGCTGGGAGGAGGGTGAGCATGTTCTGGTGCAGCCACTCACACGACCTGGCCGGGACCGCACAGAGTCTTGACCTGTGGCTCAGCTGCTTGACCTGTGCATTCCCGCTGGGGCGTCAGCAGCCACACGCGTCACAGGCACTCACAGTCCTGGGAAAGGGTCCTCTTACAGCAAGTGGCATTTGGGGTGGTGACTTTTCCCCTCTTGCGGAGTTTCAGCAAAAGCCGTCTGTTCTTTTTATAATGGAACACGTCAGATGAACTAGTAAAGGAAGAAACCTGGATGTCGCCGGGGAGGACTCGGAGAAGGCAGCGCAGGGACAGTGCTAACAAGTGGTAACTGCCACGATCAATGACAGATTAGGTCAGCCTCCTGTGGACGCAGATGCCCAGCCCAACGCCTCCAATGTTAACTTTTCTGCACTCTTTACCATTGTGTTTTGATTTAAACAGAAAGCAAGGTACGACCCTGTTTTGGTTCCAGACATGACGTCAGAGAGAACGGTCCCCCGGCTTCACTGTCCATCCCTCGAGCATTTCAGGAAGTACTTTTTGGTTCCTGGGAGGCCTGTGATCTTGGAAGGCGTGGCGGACCAGTGGCCGTGCATGAAGAGGTGGAGGTGGGTGGCTCTGAGTATGGGAGTTCCCTCTGCCTATTCCAGCCCCCGCCTCCACCCCCACACCCCCAGCCCCAAGACTCTCCAATTCTGCCTCCCTGCATCCCAAGGAAATGCAGCCTCGAGCTCACTTCCCGACTGGTCCCAGCGGGAACTGCCAAGGGTTAACCAGGGATTGCAGGTGCAGTGCCCCAAGCTTGTGCCAGGGGTTGTAGGATCCGCACCTTCCACGGCTCACTTGCTCTAAACAGGTGTGCTCACCTGGCACTGTGGCATTGGGTTGGTTAATGCCATTTTTTGGGATTTGAGGGGTTTCATGTACTCGCCCAGGGGCCCTGAGGTCAAGAGCAGAAGTGAGAACCCAAGACACGTCCTATCCCCTCTCGGCGGGGCTCCTGGGCTTGCTCCCTCTTCACCTCTGCTCCTGGTTCCCCCTCAGATGCATGGTGATGAGAGCAGGTCAGGCCGCTGGACAGGGGCCATAATGCCACAGCTGAGGAGATGAGATGAGCAGGGGCCTCTGAGACGGTTGATCAGGTCCCCTGTCTCTGGTGGGGTGTGGAGGGAGTGCTTCCCGCTGAGGCCATGTGAAGAGTTCTGGCTGCCGGGGCCAGTGCCCCATAAACGTTCGTTATGTGATTTACTGCAGACCAGCGCCAGGGTAGGCACCTGCCATGCTTTCTCTTTCTCTGATTCCCCGTCCTAAGAGACAGGTACTGTCATCACCCTCTTTTACAAATGGGGTAAACAATAACTTCCCAAAGGTCCCTGGGCAGGGCCAGAGCCAGGCCGCCCGAGTTCAGAACCCAGGCACTTCAGCACCCCTGCCGTGCTGTCTGCCGTTTTGCTCAAAGAAGGTCTCTCAGCTCCGAGACAGGGTGAGCAGTGAGAACTGCGGGGCCATTGGCCAGCAGGGAGATAGAACCTCCCAGCAAGAACCTTGGCAGATGGCCTCCCTGGGTCTCTCTGCAAAGCCACGTGGCACCGGTGGGCACATCACCCCACATGTCCATGCCCAGTGCCGTGGCCAGCAGAGTGGGGGTCATAGCAGCCCTTCCCTGTGGGGTTGTGTGGGGATGAGAGGAGGCCAGTGTGAAGCACATGTGGCGGGTGCCCGGCAGGTCGCAGCAAAAGCGACCATGCTGACCATCCATTTCCGTCTCATAGTTTGGAGTATATCCAAGAAATCGCCGGCTGCCGGACAGTGCCGGTGGAAGTTGGCTCCAGGTACACAGACGAGGAGTGGTCCCAGACGCTCATGACGGTCAACGAGTTCATCAGCAGACACATCAGGAGTGAGGTACGTGGTCGTGCCTCCCCTCCTGCAGTGCTCGCGGTGGGGAGCACACAGGACCCTGGGGCGCTGCAGGGGTCAGAGGGCTCAGTGGAGGCCCAGGGCGAGAAAGGCCAGCCACGCAGCAGACAGAACACTGGCTCATTTCAGGTCCTTCTATTTATTATTTTTTTGGTAGAATTCAGTGGGGTTTTTTAATGTCTTTATAAGACACTGTAGTGCCGCCAGCCCCACTATCTAATCCCAGAACATTCTCCTCAGTCCCGAGGCCATGAGCAGTCGCTTGCCCCTCTTGCACTGCCCCCATGTCTGCAGACACCTGCTAATCGCTGTTTCTGGACAATTCTGGTGTATACACGGAATTGGATGATACGTGGCCTTCTGTGTCTGGCCGCCTCCGGCACCATGCCCTCAGGGTTCGTCCACGCCGTCACACATGTCAGGACTCGGTTCCCTGCTGCGGCTGGGGAACATCCCCTTGGGTGGGCTCAGCACACTTTGTTCATGCGGCAGCTGACGGCCGTTCGGGTGGCGCGCACTGGCTGCCATGAAGAGCGCCGCTGGGAACGCTCCTGTTCCACTTTTTGTGTGGACGTGTGTTTTCATTTCTCTCAGGCGTATACTAGATGTGGAATCACTGGGTCACACGGTGACTCTGCGTTTAACTGTTTTTGAGGAATCACCAGACTGTTTTCGAAAGCAGCTGTGCTGTGTTATCATTTGAGATTCTTTTTTTTTTTTTTTAAGATTTTATGAGCACTGGGTGTTACATTATATGTTGGCGAATTGAATGTAAATTCAAAAAAAAAACACTAAAAAGTAAAGAGAAAGAGAGCACGAGCAGGGGAGAGGAGCAGAGGGAGAGGAAGAAGCAGACTCCCTGTTGAGCAGGGAGCCCCATGTGGGGCTCGATCCCAGGACCCTGGGACCATGACCTGAGCTGAAGGCAGATGCTTAACTGACTGAGCCACCCACCCAGGCACCCCTTATCATTTCAGATTCTTAACAGTAAGAGCAGGGGGTGGCTTCCCTTTCCTGAGGTCCTGGAGGCAGAGAATGTAGCCTTTCTGCCCTGGAGTTCCCAAACCATTCCTCTGGGCTCAGAAGGGAAGCCCGCACGTGGCGCACAGACCCTTTAAGGGGAGGGGTGTCCACCCAGCATCCGCGGTCCTGGCCACCCTTCCTGGCCCAGAGAGCAGAGTCCTTCCCGAGGTTGGGGAATTTCGAATCAGTGGTCTGCGACTCTTCCACACACTCCCCACGTTGGAGGCAGCCCCAGGCCCAGCCTCTAGAGAGTTCTGATCCGGTTTCATCGTGGGTCTGCTGCAGTCGAAGGGTCCGGATGGTGACCCTGCTGGCTGACAGTTTCTCCCCTTGGCCTTCTCCGCATTGTAACTGCAAGCTCCTGAGGGACCCCCCCACACACACCCCCACCATTACTCTGCCTGCCCCCATCATTTCCACTCCTAAGTGTCCGGCCTCCTCTGCCAGGGCCCAGGGTGGTTCTCTGGGCTGCGGCCTCCTCTGGCAGTGCTCACAGACATCTGCCATTATTGTGTCTCCTGCCCTCCACACCCACTCCTGCTCACTCCGCCATCACCTTGGGGCCTGGAGAAGGGAGCCGTGCCCCAGAGCACACCTGCTGCAGCGGCCTCACTCCATCTCCCTCTGCTGGAAAGAAGCCTAGTGCCTGGAGCAGAGGCCAGAAGCAGAGGTGCAGTTTGTCAAGTAGGCAGGAAGGCAGGCTTTGGATTCAGGTACAAAAGTGTTAACTCCAGAGATGCCTGGTGGCTCGGTGGTTGAGCGTCTGCCTTTGGCTCAGGACATGATCCCAGGGTCCTGGGATCGAGCCCCACATCGGGTTCCCTGCATGAAGCCTGCTTCTCTCTCTGTGTGTCTCTCATGAATAAATAAAATCTTAAAAAAAAAAAAAAAAGAGCGTTGACCCCAGCACTGTGTCATTGGCTGTGTGGCCTGGGCTGGTCATCTAACCTCTCAACGCCCAGTGCCCTGACTGTGGGTGAGTCAGGGTTAGTTGGGATTACTTAGAGGTTACTAATGCCTTCCTCAGAGGGTCGTGGCGAGAGTAAAACACAAAGCTCTAAGCGCAGCGTGGTTAGTGCCCCATTAACCTGACTTAGTGTCTTTGGGCCAGAACATCCGTGACAGCAGAGATCACACAGATCCGGCCCTGCCCACCGGGTCTGGCATGTTGTGACTTCCATGGTTATCAGCAAGAGAAGGGAATGAGGGAGAGGGCCGGCAGCACAGAGTCTCAAGGGATCCTGGGGAGGAGCCTCAGAGCCCGTGGGAGCCAGGCTGTGGCTGGGGGCGTGGCGGCCAGCCCCCCGGGGGCTCTACCCACACCGACCCTTCCAGAGCCCACACGCACCTCCCAAGAAGCCCAGTTAGTGAAGCTGGATCTTGTCATCCATCTGATGCATGTTCACAAAGTGACCATCTCCCAGGAGTACAGGCTAGGCCGTAGGCAGTGGGCACTCACGGTTTTGCTGGGAAGACAGTATGTGCTGAATTTTGGGAAAAGAAGCTGGCTGAAGCTATTAGAATTTGAACTGTACACACTCCGTGACTCAGTTGTTCTACTTTTGGGGGACTAGAATATTAGGCTGTTTGTGGGAACACTGGCAAAATAACCTGACTGTCCGCCAGCGGGGGAGCGGGGCAGTTGAATTAATGGGGGTCCTGGCTATAAAACACGAATCCATCAAAAAGATGAAAGATGACGCAGATCTGTGTGTGCTCACCTGAGGAGACATTCGTGAGGTTGTCGTTAAATGAAACAAAAGACTTCAAAGTAACACACATAAGATGATTCCATTTTTATTGAAAAAAGAAATCCTCGTGTGCGTGCAGCCTCTTCATTTCCAGGGGGAGCCTGAGCCCGGGGCAGTCCCTACAGAGGCGGCCCCAGCCCCCGAGTCTCCCCAGCCCCACCCCCACCCGAGACGGGTCACAGAGGGGACCAAGCGAACCCACTGGAGGGCTGTGGCCGTGGCTGCCTGCGGCTGGGGCGCGCCCGGCTCTGAGAGCCCCTGAGCAGTAGTCCCGGGGCGTGTCCCTCCACGACTAACCAGGCTTCTCTGTCACTTCTGGTTTCCCTTCTGCGGATTAGCCCAAGGACGTCGGGTACCTTGCGCAGCACCAGCTCTTTGACCAGGTGAGTCTGAGACCGCGCCCCGTCCTTGACCCGCCCACCCTCTCCCGCCCTCTGGGCTCAGAGCCCAGGGAGGGAGGCAGGAGAGGCTGGCAGCCTCGTTGGCCACCCCCGGGTGTGGTGCACGTGTCCTCCGCTCCAGCGGGGCAGCAGGAGAACAGATGCAGCTGCCAGGTGGCCAGCGACAGACCAGGCGTGCCAACCCCAGGGCCCGAGCCTGGGGTGGGGGTATGAGGAAGCCATGACTTGGACGGAGGTGGCCCCTGTGAAGGGCGTGGGGAGCCAGAAGTCTGAGCAGGTGTGGTCAGAGCTGAGGAATGGGTCCCGGGGAGCCACGCGAGGGTGGCAGGCTCTGCCCCGACCCGGCAAGAGCAGGCTGCTGCCTCCCCTGCCCTGGAGTTCTCTGGGGGTCCCGGCACTGCCCTCACCCCATTTCAGTCGCCCACCTGTGAGGCTGTCTCCCCAGGGCTGGGCCTGGGGCGCCTGGCAGGCCCAGGTTCCATTCCCCCGGGTGCCCAGCCCCGGTGGGCCAGATTGAAGACCCTCAGGACAGGCTGGCTGGAGAGCGGAAGTTCAGGGGGCTCCAAGCGGGGTGGAGAGGCAGAGCGGGGTCCAGGGGGCCAGAGGCGCCTCTCGCACCGAGGCCCGGGCACTGGCCTAGTCCACCTGCCTGGGAGGGTGCATTCAGGAGAGCAGAGCGAGAAGGGGGAGGGGTCTGGGGCCCACCTGGGTGAGCCTGGAAGGCCAGACCAAGGGCTCGGATTTAGCTGCAGGGCAGCAGGGAACCTGGGAGGTTCTGAGCAGGAGGGTCCCGGGAAGAGGAGGTGTCCCAGGAGATCCCTCAGGGGAGCCTGGGAGAGCATCCAGGAGCCAGAAGTCCTGCATCAGCTCCTTCTCCCTCACCTGTCAGCCCTAAGAAGGGGGCACCCCAGCGTGGCCTCCCAGTGCCCCGGGAGCTGATGGAAATGCAGGATCACTCTCAGCCCCCACCCCGGTAGCAGCGCGGGTCACCCAGGGCCCTGAGCACCCGGGGGGCTGAGGTGTGCTCACTCACGACACGGTCATGGGACCCCAGGGGCTGGCTGGCGGGAAGTGAGAAAGTCAGGACGCGCCATCACGTACACAGGGACCTTTGCTCTGGTGGGGACAGAAGGAAGTACCCCCAGAAGATGGGCAGTGCTTGCGGGCGGCAAGGCGTGTGGGGTCTCTCCTCTCTGCTGTTCGCAGAGCAAGGTACACTCATCATAATGAGAAGAAACAGACTTTGTAAACGCAGACCCAACGAGGGAACAAAGTGAAGAACCATTGCCTTCTGCATTTTCAGAGCTGCCTGGTTAGGCGGAGACAACCTGAGGGCTTATCCCAAGGAGATCGTCGAACAGTCTGGCCTTCTGCCCACCCCCTCCCCGTCCCCCTCACTTCACTCTGTCTGTGGATCGCGGGCTGCAACACCCCCACCCCTGGGCCTGGGCTGCCTCGCGGGCCCCTCTGCACCATGTTCTGGGCCCGGTGGGGGTGGGGGGTGGGGGGCAGGATAAGGAAGAGTTGTCCTACCCCTACCCCAGAGCTGGTGAGGGGCATGTCCAGGAGAACAGAGGCAGTGCGTGGAGGGGGCTGCTCGGGGAGGAGGGCTTGCGAGCCCAGGGCAGGGAAGGCGTCTCCAGGAGGCGACGGAGAGGGCCTGAAAGGCGAGCGGTCTCCAGCCGTGGAGCGGATAGTTTGCCCATTTTTTTATTGGGTTGTTTATCTCCTTCTGAGTGTCACGAGTTCTCCGTGTACGTTCTGGGTCTAAGCTAGTTGTCACTGTAAGCGCCGTATTTGATGCGGGTCTAAACAGAGCCAAGAGGGGGCCGAGAGGGGGCCGTGCCAGCTAGGGGAGCAGTGGGGCTGGGCCCAGAGCCTGGTGGGGAGGGATGCAGCAGGTGGGGCTGAAGAGGCAGGACACGTGCTGGGCAGCTGGGAGGGTTGGGGTGTTTCTCAGGTGGCCGAGGCCCCATCCTGGAGGGGAAGGGAAGGTGGGCAGCTGTGGACGTGAGGGGACCTCCAGGAGGCTGCTGCCAGAATCGGCGGGGAGCTGATGCCCATGGAAGCTGACAGGCTCCAGACAGGTGTCAGCAGCCGGCACACCTGGATGCAGGTGGCTAGGCGAGTTGAGGGAAAAGTAGCTGTCAGGGAACACTCTAGATTTGAGACTGAGCGCCCGCTCAGGGGAGCCGGGGGATCCAAGAGGGACTCTGCTGGTGCCTGGGCCAGGCCAGACACCACGGTGGGGCTCAGCAGGGCAGCACGTGGCCAGGGCCAGGACGGGGCTCATACCCCAAAGGGGGAAGATCTGGGGGGATGGGGCACGATTGTGCCAGGTCTGCCCCGGGGCGGGGGGCCTACTCTCTCTGCCTGTCCTGGCAGGGGACCCTGCACACCAGAACTAAAGGGGCCGGAGCCAGGCCGGGCTGGGCCTCTGGGATTAGGGCTTGGAGATCCTGCCTCCTGCCCTCTCTGAAGGAAAGGGGGAGTCTATGGGAGCAGGCCCCTACTGTGCCATCCCACGTGCGTGGCCAGCCTGCCCCCTGACCTCAGTCACACCCCCCAGGGGTCCCCCGAAGCCTCCATGTCCTAGAGCAGCCATTTTCGACTTGACTAGAACAAGAGGAAGCTGTCTTAGAAGTGGAAGGCCAAGTGCCCCATTGTTTTTAAGACGAACCAAGCCCTTGAAGACATTTTGCCTTTGGACGGCCACCTGGGTCTTCACCTCAGCTCCCCAGAGGGGTGCTCTCACCTCTGCTGCCCAGACCACCACCTGGCAGGCCCTGCACTGCCTTCTTGCCTCCACCAAGCTCAATGGCTCAAAACCTCTTACTGCCTTTCCTTCCAGGGCCCCCCATCATGGAAGATTTTGGCCACCACACTAGGCTTCCCTTTAATTATCAGTCATGTCCAGGAAGCATTCCTTCTCTTGGGGGGGGGGGGGGGCTGAGTCCTTGGCCAGTGGCTCTGATTACACCATTTGATCAACCAGTCCCATTTCAGAGATCCTGATGTCATCAGGGACCAGTCAGCTTCTGAGCATTCCATGGTGAGGTGAGGCGAGGGGGTCAGATGCAGTCCCAGCTAGAAGCAGGTGTGCAGTGTCACTGAGCCTGGTGGTGGTGGAGAAGCAGGAGGTTCCCAGAGGCCTTTGGGACCTGCCACCCCCACCCCCCCACACTGGCCAACAGGACAGGGGACCCCCAGATTGGGAACTTGTAGGTTACCCCCAGAGCAGTGGACATAGCAGCATTTCTGTATGTCTGCACAGGCTGTTTGAGACAGAAGAGCCTGAGGCCCCTGCCATTCTAGGGATCGATCAGTGGCTTCTCAGCATCCTGAACTCAGAGCCACTATTATTGAAAGAGTGGCCAGGGTCGCCGCCCAGGCAGAGCAGGGAAATGTCACTCTCAAAATACCTGAGGAAAGTAGCAGAGGGGTCCCCGCCTTGGCACCCATTAGGGACCAGACTTGGGTTTCTGTGGCATTTCCCCAAGCCTCTGAGCCACCTGCCCCAGCAGCAGGCAGTCTTGGAGGTCTGGGGCTGCACGGGGCTGTGGCGGCCTGGCCTCCGCGGGAGCGAGCCGACATCCGCCGGTGAGGAAAGCGCTCCCTGGCTAGCCTTCAGGAGGCCACGGGCCGGGGTGTCCAGACCCCAATCAGCCCTGGGCAGGGGCACTGGGGACCACTCTGCTGGGTGCAGCACCTTGTGCCGGGTGCAGCCCCAGCCGGGGAGGACGCAGGGCTAGAAGAAAACTCTAGGGGGGGCCACTGCTTGCTGTTCCAAAGCACCTCTTGTCAGCCGGCCGGGGCCAGTGGCCGGGGCGGGGGAGCCGGCAGCCCCTTCCTTGTATCTAATTCATTTCTACGCACCATCTGGCTTTTGCCCTTTGATTATTTGTGTTGCTTACTTACGTACCAGGATCCTTATTATTTTTGTTATTTTGTACGAGCACATTAACCCTCACGGACCACAGTTCAAGTTTCTCCCTTTACTGGTCTTTGTATTAATGAACGTATTTAAAATGTGTGCGCAGTGGCTGCTTTCTCGTTAGTCAATTTTGGAAAATCTTCCTTCCCAGAGATTTGATAGCCAATTCCATTTTCTTTCTGGTTTTTCTTTTCATTTGGTTTTCAAAAACATTGCACTCTTCGGAACATCGCGAGCTGGTGTTTTTAAGTGCAGAACAGTACTATCAGGTTTTTCGAAAAGAAAACAAAAATAAAATGCATAGGCAGAGAAACAAGTCTGGAAAGAAAATTATATGTAACTCTTAACTAATAATTATTTATTTCTTTTTTTTTAACATTGTATTTATTTATGTGTAAGAGAGAGAGCTTACATTAGGGGAGGAGCAGAGGGAGAGGGACAAAGAGACACTGCTGAGCACAGAGCCCAACACAGGGCCCGATCTCACGACCCTGAGATCATGACGTAAATCAAGAGTCAGACGCTCAACCGACTGAGCACCCAGGCGCCCCTGTATATTTATTTTTTCAATTGGTTTGTAAATTCCCCTACAGTAAAATGCAGATGCAGTCGTGGTGTTACCCAAAAAGGCAGTGTGTTTGGCCCTCCTGGGAGATGGCCTGTTGAGTGCTGGCTGGTGTGTCCCCCCAGCCCTGGCTCAGCCTCCACGTGTGCTTGGACACCCACAGATCCCGGAGCTGAGGCAGGACATCAGCATCCCTGACTACTGCTGCCTGGGCGACGGGGCGGAGGAAGAGATCACCATTAATGCCTGGTTTGGCCCCCAAGGCACTGTGTCCCCCCTTCATCAGGACCCTCAGCAGAACTTCCTGGTCCAGGTGGGAGATGCTCCAGAACATCAGCCTTTGCCTCCTCCTGCCCAGCCCCGTGAGGCCTGGCCACGTTATCCGTGTTTAAATTCCAGAGAGGGATGTGGGCAAAAATGAAAACACAGGGATGGTACCTGGCCCCTGTGGGGCCCTCCTTCTGGCTGGGGCTGCTTCCGGATGTGGTTCTGGGACCAGGAGCCCCTGGGATCCTGGCCGTGTCCCTAGGGCAGAGCAGGGCCGGGCGCCATCTCAGGGCTGAGCGGGCATCCCCACGCCGCCTGCCTTCGCCTCAACCAGGTCAGCATCCCCGTTCCAGAGTCTCTCCCCAGATAGGGCACGGCTTCTCGGCCACCGGATGGTGTGTCCTGAGACCCAGAGAATTTAACAGACGGGAACATTCTTCCAGCCCAGAGGCTCTAGAGAGAGGCTGTGAGCTGGGCCCAGGAGCCACTGCTTGGCGTCAACGCCAGCCCTGGCACCTGTCAGCTCGGTGACCGTGGGCCACCCGGCCAGCCTCTCTGGTTACTGATCCGTGATGTATGTGGAGGCTGAACCTAGTCCCAACCTAGAATGTGCGCAGCAGGGATGGGGCAGTCTGGGCGCGGGGAACAGCATGTGGGAAGGCAAGGAGAGGCGTGGGCGGATGGTGGGTCCCGGGACCTGCCCTCGGCAGGAGGAGGCAGCAGAGTGACGAGTCCCCGTCCCCCAGGTGATGGGCAGGAAGTACATCCGCCTGTACTCCCCGCAGGAGTCCGAGGCTTTATATCCACACGAGACGCACCTTCTTCATAACACGAGCCAGGTGGGTACATGGGACCCTGCGTGACGCTGCACATTCACCCCCTCCCGCCAGCATGCCCCGCCCCTCCCTGGGTCTCGGGAGGGTGGGCAGGAGACAGCTCCTGTTTTCCTCAGGTTGACGTGGAGAATCCTGACCTGGACAAGTTCCCCAGGTTTGCCGAGGCCCCGTCCCTGTCCTGCATCCTGTCTCCCGGGGAGATTCTGTTTATCCCGCTTCAGTACTGGCATTACGTGCGGGCTCTGGACTTGAGTTTCTCGGTCAGCTTCTGGTGGTCATAGCCACAGTGCAAGGATGACACGCCAGCAGCAGCTGTGGCTTCACGCATCCCCAGCTCCGCAGCTGGCCTGTCGCCAGGTCCCAGCATTGAGACCAGCCCAACCTGGCCTGTGCCGAAGCCTGTGCTGGAGACCAAGCTGGGCGGACACGGGCGGGGGGCCCCGCAAGGTGCACGCTTCAGGCCAGGGGCCGGCAGCAGAGCCAGGTGGGCAAGCCCCCAGAAGGACGCTGCAGGCCGACACCCCATGGAGACCATGGCACCGAGGCCTGAAGAGCTGCGGTCACAGGCAGCAGCATGTGCAGTGACAGAGCTGGGATCTGGGCTTGGCTCCCTGGACTCCAACCCAGCCCCTGGGCTTACTTGCCGTGACGGTTGGGACAGGCACCTCATCGGGTCATGGTGTGGAATACGGGGCAGCTGGAGCGCCCACCAGAACGTTCGAGAGGTGGTGCGTGGACCGCCCCCGCAGGTCCGTGAACGTAGCTGTCTGATGTTAAGAATTCTTACAACTGCTACCGACTGGTCTGTCCTGACTGGGTCTGACAGGACACCCCAACACGCAGACTCTGGTGAGATGGTGTTGGGCAAGGGAAGGGTCCTGTGGGCTCGCTCAGCCCAGCCCAGCCAACGGCGGGAAGTCCAGGGAGGTTTAGTTATCATACACCCACGGCCTGACGCTTTCCAAGTGTGCGCCCTCCCAGTAGCCAGTTCCCGAATCATGAAACCACCATCAGCAGCACCCAGGAACCCCCGTCGTGCCCCTCAGTCTCACTGGTCCCCCTCTTGCAGATAGCCTTGCCCCCAGGGGAGCAGATGGCCCTGCAGTCAGCGCCAGGGCCCACAGGCTCGCTCCAGAGCTCCAGGAGCCAATGAGGTGCAGTTCCCGCAGCTGGGGCCTGGCCACTCAGGCGGACGGGCCTGGCTGACACGCGGACCCTGGGTAACCGAGTGGGGTGGGAGGCACCGGTGGGCAGCTGGAAATCTTAGCTGCTCGTTTGAGCTTTATCACTTGGGGCTCCCGGGTTTGGAGCAGGCAGATGGGGGCAGGGCGGGGGGCGGGTGGAGCCTGTAGGACGGCTGGAACTCACACGGGGTGAGGGCTCCGAGGGCACAGGCCAAGGCCGAGGCCGGCTATTCGGGAAGTGGAGGGAGGGCTCTCTGTGGAGACCGCTGGTTCCCCCACCTGGCATCATTAATAGTTCTCTGCCAAATTTTTCAGATGAAGAACGTACACCAAATATTGATGCCGCTGAAGGCAGTGGGTCATAAAATAGAAAATAGTGTCCGGCACACCGGCCATCAGGAAAGGCGGCCACCTGGCTCTGCAGAAGCCCTTAAGTCAGGGGCCTGCCTGCACCACAGCCCTCCCCACCCGAGGGTGACTGTGGGGCTCCGGTCTCCCAACTGCCAGGCCCCACGTCTGCTCCGAGCCACCGTTCTCATCTGTAACATCATGCTTCTGAGGTTAGGGACCAGGTGACACGGGCATTAAAACACGATACAGAGGCCTGGCCGTCTCCAACAAATGTCCCTTGTAAAGTGGCAAAAGACAAAATCTTTAGGTGCCCTCTGGACAGGGGTCCAAGGCTGCCAGCTACAGCAGCTGCCGAGGGCTGGCCTCAGCCCTGTGGAGGGTAGGCTCAAGGCCACTCAAAGGAAGAGTGCCCGCCAGCTCTTCACAGAGCCAAGGAGGGGCGAGCACAAGGCCAGCTCAGCCCCCCACTCCCCACCCGAGCTGCAGAGGCCTGCTCAGGGTCTGCCCCGACAGGCACATGTGGCCTTGAGCAGATGTGGCCCTGCCCTGGCAGGTCACACGGTCTCCTAGGGTCTGGAGAGGAGGGTGGCAGTGAATTCATGCAGATGGTGGTGAGGGCTGTGAAGGGACAGGGACAGATGTGACTAACCACAGACGGCATCTGAGTAAGCCAGAAGGACCAGGAGGCCAGCACTGCCCACAAACAGGTGCAGCAGCCCTGGGGCAGGAAGGCCTTGGCCCTGGGGAGAGGAAGGAACCGGAACAGCCGGAGCAAAGGGGCCTGGACTGAGCCAGGGGTGGGAGGAGCGGGGGACAAGCAAGGGTGCTGAGCCAAGGAGACAGCCTGTAAGACGGGCCGGAGGGGAAGCCTGGAAAGGGAACAGCCACGAGTGTCACCTGTCCTGTCAGTTCCTGGAGTGACCGTGTCAGCAGGGGGAGCAGGGGGTGAAGACAGGCTGCACAGGGAGGCCAACAATGGCCTGATCCCAAAAGCCTGGGGCACCAGACAAGGTCTTCAGAATTGTGAAGGTTTGGTTGGGCGGGGTCAAGGAGTCCTCCAGAAGTTCACGTTGGGATCCATGCAGGGGAGATGCAAGCCTTGGGTGGGGAGGGGCCAGGGGCCAGTGCTCAGAGCTTGTGGAGTCATAGGACTCAACCGGACCTGCATGGTATGACCCTGCCCCTCCTTGACAGCCACACCACCAGGCCAGGCAGGCAGGAAGCAGGCTGTGGGGAACCCCCCCGCCCCCTGGCCCTCCCAAAACCCCAGTTCCAAGGTACCATCTTTTCTCAACTGGTTTCCCTGCCTTCCCATCATCCCTGCAGGCTGCCAAGAAAGCCCTTCTCTGGTTGCCTGCCTGACACTACTGACCTCCCCATGCAGTCGGGGGGTACCCATGGGGTTCTATCAGTGGGCTGCTGTTTGCCTCCTGAGGGCAGCGCGGGGATCCCAGGCTGGCTCCCAGAAGCTCCAGTTGGCAGCAGTCTCACTGTCCGGAAGCTGGGCAATGAGACCCACCTGAGGCTGGGAAGGTGAGCCTCCCATCAGCAGGTGTCATTTGTCCACCGTGTCCTGTATGCTAGACGCCCCTGTGCACTGCGCTTGTGGAACGGACCGGGGCAGAGCATCCCTGCCTGCATGGGTGGAGGCCACACTGTCCATTTGGTGCCAAGTTGATTCTCCACCTGCCTGATAAGAGCATGTCCAGTTATCTTTGGGAGATAACTCTGTGGCTCAGAGGCAAGCCCTGATTTGCTAGTGCCAACTGGCCCATCCTGTCCCCGCCTCCGTAAGTATCCAGAGTGGAGCTATGACCATGAGGTGTCTGCTGGGGCACTAGTGTGCGAGGCCTGGAAGTATGGCTAGCAGGAAGAAAGTGGCTGGATTTTTCTGGGAGACCATCTAGTAGGCCCCACGCACAAGGCCAGCTCATGAAAATACAGCAGAGGCAGCAAAGTGGATGCTCGGTGACATCACGGGACCCACCGGGTCAAGCTTCTCCGGAAGGATGCCTTCTGGCCAAGTCCTTCCCTGTTTTAGCCAGTCTGGTTAGGCTTTCGGTCATGACTAAAGGGGATATTCAGGGTGGAAGAGACGGAGACAGGAACCAGAAGGCAAGTGTGATGAGCAGGGAAGTGTGGGTAAATGGGGACCGAGGGCTGGAAGCGGGACAAGATCCAAAGAGCAGCCAGACACAGACAATGGTGGGAAACAAGAAGGGAAAGTTCCTGAGCAGAGGGCACAGTGTGTGCAGGGGCTCCGAGGCCAGGAACAGAGGGCCCTTCCGAACTGAGGGAAATGCCACGTGGGAACAGCGGGCACAGCCCGGCCTCCTGGATCCCGGGTCTACACCTGAGCCCCTGGGCAGCAGGAGCCACACCACGCTGACGTGTCAGGGGCAGGTCGCCTTGGTGGGAGAACCTGGAGCGGGGGGGCCGGCTGCCCCAGGAGCAGACCTAGCAGAGGCGGAGGGGGCAGGGGCATAGGATTCGGAAGCTGGTTTGACGCAGGACAGAGGGAGGAAGCTGCAGCTAGGACAGCAGATGGCAAGGCAGCCCGTCGCCATGCAGGGGTGGAGGGCCCCAGGAGGAGAGTGCCCTCCAGCCCAGCCTGCCAGCCTCCTGCCCGCTCAGGCAAGCTGCCTCTTGGGCCACAGGAGGCTCCAGACTGCAGGGAGCTGGGGACAGCTGGGCTGGCCTGCGCTGAAGGGTCAAGTGACCCAAGCCAGGGGGTTCTCAGTTATCAGGGAGCCCAGGAGAGGACGGGCTACCACGTGAAGCCTCCCAGGGCGGTGCACGACCACAGACCAAGGAAGCAGTGACTCATTAGTAACTTTTATTCTGAACCTGCTGATGAGTGAACACAGAGCAGACGGGATTCGGGCAGCGTGAACGCTGATGCTAGTCCTCCCAACAGGGCTCACCTGCCATCCCCCAAAGGCAGCAAGCCTGGGCCAGCTAGTGCTGCCTGGACCGCAAGGACTTTCTGTTGGCCTTGGAGGTACTAGCCTCCCGCTCCTTCTCGGGGTCGAAGACCTCTGTACATGGAAAAGGCGAGAAGGTACCATGAGTGGCAGTGCTGGGCGCACACACAGCAGCAGCCGCGTCCACTGCCACATGTCGCCTGCCGTGGGCTCTGCTCGTCCCTCCCTGCTGATCTACCCCCACACCACAGCCAGGAAGGGAGGGTCACCTCACATCCCGAGATGGCTGTCGAGGCAGGTGGGGGGGCTTGTTTAGACCAGAGCCTCACGTGCCATGGGAGTTCTACTGGGTTCTAAGCCATTGCAAGTGTGCAAGCAGGAAGGCCTCCACTTACTGGGTTCGGGTCCTGATCACACAGACCTGCAGGCACGGAGCCCTCGTCTGAGCACTCCCTGTCCCCAGGTGTCCCCTCAGTCCTGCCACCCAGCACCCCCCCCAGAGGCCAGGGGTCAGCACCCGAGCACTGCAGGGACACGAACCTGGTATCTCGTGAGGCCAGTAGTCATTACAGTGGGGACAGCGTGGCTCTGAATTGGACTGGAAATACTTGGCCACGCAAGGTAAATGCATCCTGATCCCACAGGTCTCGCAGCTTTGACCCTGAAACCAGAAAGGCGACGGCTGTGGAGCCTTGGGTGCACCTCCGTGGTCACATACCTTCAGCAAATGGCCAGGAGAATGCCCAACAGGCTCCACAGTTTTGTCTTCCAGGCCCCCAATGAATAATGATAATCCCAAAGCCCTCAGCTCAAGGGCTTTTAGGAATTTTTATTACAGAATTCTGAGAAAGGAATGTAGGTGGAGGACACTGAAAGCTCTGCCAGCCAGCGCACAGTGGCACAGACCTCGCAGGGGTCCTGTGCACAGCTACAGCCTTCAGGAAGGCCCCCGGGCAACGTGGGTCAGAGGCTTTAAGAAAACGTGTGAGCCCCTCCAGTAATTCCACTTCTAGGAATCTGGCCCAGGGAACCAACCCCAGGTGCCCAGAAGTAGGTGTGCAAAGAGGCTCATCGAGGCACAGCTGACGACAGTGGAAAGGTAAGAATCAGAAGGAAGAACCCTAGACGTCCCGTGCTGGCCCGGCGGCAGCAAAACCTCGCCAAGTAGGCAGCACAGAACCAAACACCAGAGGTCAACACGCCCAGATGTTCAGCACGCCACTGCCAAGGTGACGCAGGCTACACACAGACCTCTGAGAGCCCCTGGACTAGAACTAAGGCTCCGCGGGGAGAAAGGGCGGGCATTTGCTTGGTCATCCTCAGACACTTCCCAGGGGATGCCCTATGTCTGCCCATGCCAGAGGCAGAGGCTCAGGATGAGTTCTAGAAGGTGCCCCGCCGCTGGTACGGTACCTGGATGAGGAGGCTGTGGCAGATGTTGCAGATCTTCACGGCATCGGGGTACGTCTCCCGGATGTACTGCTCCATCTCCAGGATGGCCCGGCTGTGCAGGGTGAACTCCCCTTCCTTCTGCAGGGCAGAACGGGAAGTGGCGACGTCTGAGCCTCTGGCAAGTCAGGGCCTTCCCACCCAGCAGGCCCACGGTCCACAGAGCTGCAGACGGGGCACCCCTCACGCCACTGGTTTTCACCAGTCCCCACCCGCAGGTGTCCACGCCGGCCCCTGGGCAGAGCCACAAGCCACGAAAACCTGGGCCGAGACTGAAAGAGAATGAGGTGAGGCTCTGCACACCCCTGCCTCGGCACCTCCCTTGTACCACACAGGCGTGAACCACGAGTGTGCCAGCAGCCCCCGAGCAAGGACTGCCCTCGCTCCCCTACAGGGAGGATGCGGAGCAGGGAGAGGGAGGCGGCCTCCCACGGGGTGAGCTGGGCACATCCCCTGCCCTCATGTGCACCCCTCCCTCTCCTTCCCCAGCCAGCACTCCAGCCTTCAGCTCCGGGGTCATTGCCTCAGTTGGGGAAAAGCTGTCCTGCGAGCGTGTTTCCTTTCTACCTGTACCTCGACTTCAGCAAGCTGCCTGCCCAATCTCTGGCTCCTCCCCAGGCCGCGGGCCCCGGGACAGCACCAGGCCCGGTTCTGCTCTTGTGTCCCCAAGCCTAGTGCAGGGCTCAGCACTGGGCAATCCCGTGATAAACCTCCCAGGGCAGGTGGACTCGGCCCTGCACTGAGACCACGGGGTGAATGCCCAGGCCCCCATGAACAAGTTCTACTCGTGCTACACACCTACTGTGTGTCTGGAACTGGCCAGTGCTCATAGTTCATGACCCTGCTCAGTCCTATGGGGGCCCTGTTGCAGATGAGGTGCCCTGGTCCCCCAAAGAAGAGCCAGACTCCCAAGATCTCCCAGGCCTCCCAGCTATCCTTTGAGCTCAGGCCCTGCAGCAGGATGGCCCCTGCTGTGTGGAGTGTGGCTGTCAGCAGAGGCCCCCACGCTGAGGACCCGCACCCTCACTGCAGCCAGCCCACCTAGGGGCCTCCCCCGGTCCCGGATGCCCACCTGCCAGCCCCCACCACCGGGACACCTTCATATCTGTGCCCTGGATGTGCACCCACAGCAGGGTGCTCAGGGCTGCTGAGTGGCAGGGTGGGGAGCTCTGGGGGGTGGACCAATGGGCGATCATGGAGAATAGTTATCTTCTCATCCTCCCATGAGGAGCAAATACTTCTTGCATGTGTTTGAGTTCATTTTAATTAAGTTCTATCCCTCCAGGTTATCCCCTCCCTACCCAGCCATCCCCCCAGCAGCACTGGCGGAGTGTCTGCAGGGGCGGCAAGGTGCAGGGAGAGATTGTTAAAACACTTGGTCTGGGGCAGACCTCAGTCGGTTGTAACCTGAGCTACCCAAGAATGCTCCCTTGTGCCAAACCTGCCCTGGAGGGGAAGAGAGCCTGTGACACGGCCACTGTTGGGAGCTGTGGTCACCCTGGCCCAGGCCTGGATGGGGGACACCACCCATGCCACGGAGCCGCAGGTGCCCAGCTAAACACCAGAGCTGAGGGGCTGTCGTCAGGGCACAGCGGAGAACCCAAGACTGTGGTGGGTCCCACCACCCCTGCCCTCAGCCCTGCAACTGTCTTCCCCTGGCCAGGGAAGCACCGGAGGCCCTGAGGCCTGCTGGTCACACTGCAGGGATGGCCCGCCCCTCGGGAGCAAGTACTCAGTGCCGCCGCTCGGTGACCAGAGGCAGGCTGTCCCGGGGAGGGTAGTGAAGAAGTGTCTCACCGTGAGCTGCAGCCTCCAGCCACGGGAAAGACCGCCGAACGAGGAAGTAGAGGGTGACCTGAGCCCACCACGTGCAGACACAGGCACTCAGGGGCACGGCTGAGGTCAGAGGCCAGCTCAGGGCTTGTCTGCCTCGGGCTTCCTGGTGGTACCTTTCGTGGGAAAAGCCCAGAAACATCTGCTCTGCTCCAGTCAGCAGAAGCAGCCACGGGGGGTCTAGAAATGTGAACATGAGTGCTGTCTGGTCCCTTTTAGACATCCACAGCTCCTCCCCAGCATCTGCCCCCAAGTCCTCTCTGCACCTTGGGGCCATGTCGAAGCAAAAGGCCCATGGACCCCGGGCCCTGACTGATGTAACATTGACAATAACCACCACAAGGATGGCAAATTCCTTTGGGAGCCCAGCACTGGGCACTGGATGTCTGCCGTCCCTTCCCCCCACCTCCCACCAGGAGGTGACACTGTTCCTCCCCTCCTACAGAAGAGGAGCTCTAGGTTCCCTGACCAGGAACTGGGCCGGGTCCGGTGCCAGAGCCATGCTCTCACCCACAGCGCCCATGGCCCCACATCTGTGGACCAGAGTGCCAAACCGGGTAGAGTCCCTGCTCTGCACTTCTGGCCAGGGTGCCCTGGCCACATGACACGAGCAAGCGGGAGGCTCCAAGTCCTTCTCATAGGGTCCCGATGGGCATTAAAGCAGACAAGAGGCCTGATAGGGCCTAGCTCAACAGACAACAACTGGATACGATATGGTTTTAGAGAAAAACTGTTCTCTGTTCTAAATGTGCCGGGCTGGGGAAACCACACTACCTCGATCAGCCATTTGTTCTGTACAAACTTCTGCAGCACCTGCTCTGCTTCCTTCTTCCTCATCTTCTTGCCTTTAAGTTGATCGACCAGGTTCAAAATATTTGTGGAAGATGCAAAGCCAGTTTCTGAGTCAATAATCAGTTCCAACTGGAAGAAACAGCAGGTACCACGTTCATCTATCAAACCGCCAAAAAACAACATTTGAGCAAGAACACCAATCCTGGCGGGGGCAGGAGGCTGTGAAACTGCTCACAATGAGCGGCAGCACTGGGCCCTGGGACGCTCCTTCAGGAAGACAGCTTTGTGACGAGCACCAAAAGCCATAACCACGGTCAGTCCTTTAGACTCAGTGCTCACCCTGAGATATCATGCCAAATGGATGACCTTAACACCCCTAAATCAAGAATCCTCTTGGGATCCCTGGGTGGCGCAGCGGTTTGGCGCCTGCCTTTGGCCCAGGGCGTGATCGTGGAGACCCGGGATCGAATCCCACGTCGGGCTCCCGGTGCATGGAGCCTGCTTCTCCCTCTGCCTATGTCTCTGCCCCTCTCTCTCTCTCTGTGACTATCATAAACAAATAAAAAATTAAAAAAAAAAAAAAAAGAATCCTCTCTTGCCCCCACCTCCCTGAAGGTAGAGAAGCTGGGGAATGAATGAATACCAAGGTAGCACCCTCCTACTCAGTTGGTAGGACTCACACGGACAGGACCTCACAGGTGAAGGGCAGGCTGGAGGCAGGAAGGGCAAGACAGCAAAGCCAGGGTGGACCAGGAGGCAGGCTTGCTCGGAAGCTGCAGAGACGGTGTGGAGCCCAGGCCAGGAGGGCCCAGCGGGCTGGTCCCGACACTGCTCACAGGGCTGCTGGGAAGATAGGCTTCCTGCCCGCACAGGCCGGCTAGCATCCCAGTGCCTGGTTCTCAACCTAGGCTGCCAGTTGTCACCAGAGGCTTGGAAAGGAATGATTCTAGGAGGAGTTATCAGAGACCTGGATTCGCCAGGTGTGGATGAGGTCCCAATGTCTCAACTATTTTTACCCTCCGGTTATTAGAATATGCACCCAGGGCTGAGAACCACTGTCACGGCCAGGTGCTCACCAGGTGAGTGACAAGGCTGAACCAACAGTTCTGATACTGGGGAGGCAGAGCAGTGCCTCTCGAGTGTGAATGGGGAAACATGCCATTGGGGCACCTCATTAAAATGCAGACCTGGATTCAACAGTCTGTGGTGTGGGGCGGAGGGGAGGGGGGGGAACTAGGATTTGGCCTTTCTAGCAACTTCCCTGGTGCTGCTGCTGCTGCTTCTGGGGGTCTGGACCCTGCTGGGAGCAGCAAGAGGAGCACTTGTTCACCTGCATTGCACAACCAGAGGCATGGTGCACAACCAATCCGGGTTTAAACCTAGAGAAGTTCTTCCTTCCTGGGAAGCCCTGGTGCCCTTCTGCCATCCGTGGTGAGCTGCTCAGTGACCCACCCCCTGCAGATGGCTATCTAGGGCAGCAGTGGTGACTCTCCAAGATCTTGGTTTCCATTTCTAATGATGGAAGACAGCAAATCTCCCCTAAGAAGCCCAGCCCATAAACAGGAACTACTGTACTTACAGCCTTTCTAAACAGATCCAGCTCATTCTCTGCAAAATCTGAGGCCATTTTGGAAACGGAAGTTGTCGCAAGATTCACCTAAAAAAAGAGGTCAGCATGGCAGTCAGGCTGGGCCCCTCGCTGGTCAGCTAGTAGAGCACCTCTCACCAGCCACTGAGCACTAGTGTGCAGGTGCTGCTGGCCATAGGGCTGGATTTGTGAACAGTCACATGTTACAGACTTAAGTCTCTAACTCAGTCAGCACGTCTGAATCTCAGATTTTCAGAACGTGTAGTATCTTCCAAACCCAGATACATTTGGGGAACTTACCTGCATGCTTCATGGAGCCTCACATGCAAAAGTAACTGACAAGGCCAGCAGTAAACAAATCAGATTCACCCATTTAATCCAGCATTCCCATAGCTACTTGACTCCACAACCCTTTTCCCGGGGAAGGGTGTGGGAGTCCTGGCCAGCGCCTGTCTCTGGATGGGCCTGGCTGCGGGAGCCTGGTCTCCTCAGATGGGCCTACAGTGGTGCTCTAGCCCGGGCCGGGGGCCTGTCTGCTCCGCCTGCCTGTTTCGCCCCTTGTTCCCTGGCCAGGAGGGACACTGGAACAACAGAAGGCCTGACTGGCTCTCAACCCCTAGTGCCCCACATTTTTTTCCTTCTCACAGCTTCTATGCCTTATGAAAAATGAGAAACCACTCTCCTCCCTTTAATCCTAATATTCCACACTTTTGAGGTGACTGCTTGCGTTGAACTGTCAACAGACCAAACAAAGCCTAGTGCACGCTGCCCTGTCTCGGGCAGGGGCTCGGTGTGGGGCAGTGATGTGCACACGGAGGTGACAGCCCCTAGCCCTGATCATGGCACAGGACGCTCTGGTGGCCTGGTGGCCTGGTGGCTCTGGTGGCCTGGGCTGCGTCTGCGTCCCCCTGCAGGGCAGCTGCGGCAGGGGCGCCTCTGCTCCGCACAGACGCCGCAAGAGGGCGCCAGCAGGCACTCACCAGCGCGTACACGGGTCTCCCGTCATCTTCGGTGGCTCCTTTCTTGATCTCAATATACAAGGATTCCAGGACGCTGTTAATGTTGTTGATAAAGTCTTCCAGCTCCTCCACAGCGGCAGTACCTGGAGAGAAATGAGCCCGGGGGGGGGGGGGAGGGCACCAAGAAGTGTGGTGCTTGGAATCTCTCCATCCACCTGAGCCCGTGACACCAAGGCCAGAAGCAGGTGGAGGCCCAGACCCTTGGTGAATGCCAATGGCTTCCTTCCTCGAGTCATCAGACCCCCGGGGAATGGTTTCTGAGCCCACCCAGCTCTTCCTGTCCTTGCTGTCCCCTGCCACCTCCTATGCCCCTCTGCAGGCTTCCCCCTCACAGCCTCCCCCATGCCCGATCCATCTCTATTCCTTCTTCCCTTTCTCCACCATCCAGACACATACCGAACACCCCCATGCCAGCCTTCGTGCTGGGCTGGGGGCAAGGGGTGGTGGGCGGGTCAGGGGGCAGCAGTGAAGACTAAACGACCTGGGTAAGAGACCAGCGTGCACTGATCACCCCTGCCCCCCAGGGAGGCCCTGCACTAAGCACTTTCCAGGCATTAGTCCATCCTGCCAGCAGGCCTCTGAGGCAGGCATGAGCGTCCTCTGGTGTGGGGATGAGGCCCGGATGCACAGGGAGCTGACTTGCCTGCAATGAACCCCTGGGGCACAGTGAGCAGCAGGGAGCCTCGCAGCACAGCCATGACCTGAGCTCCAACCTGTATGCTAGCCCGCCTCCAGGCTGCCTGGAGCTGCACAAGGAAGGCCCCACCACTGTCCTGGGGCTGCCAATCCATACAGCAGAGGTATGCGATCAGCATCCCCATGTTGCAGGGGCTGCAGTGAATGAACCACCCACCAGCTGGGGACAGAAAGCAATCAGGGAGCCAGTGAGGCTGCAGCAGGAGGCCCTGCAGCCCAGAGGGAGGGGGCAATGGGGAGCCTTTCCGAGTTGGAAACAGAGAAAGCAGCTTTGTGTCTTAGATTTACCCCCTCTGTGTACTGTGATACTTTTTTAAATAAAAAGTGTTTATTACTGTTTTTACTTATTAAAGGACTTTCAACAAATTTGAGAAGCAGCAGGCATACAAACAATATGATACCCTTAATGTTAAAGGCAATGATAAAACCAACAAAACAATACTTCAGGAGAAAGGCCAGGAAGAACGACCCAGCAAGCTGATGGCTCAGGCCACTGCCAGGAGGGAAACACAGACGAGGGGGTCGGCCCAGGGCACTTGAACTCTGTGTTTGACTTCCCACAGAGAACGACACTTCGAAGCTCCTGTATACCTACAGACTGAAGGTTAAAAACAATAACCGGTTACACTGGTGGCACCAACGGTCACAGCCATGTGGACCACACAAGGAGACTGTCCTAACACAAGCAAGGGAGGACACGAGGTGGCCCGGAACAGCTGATGACCATGACAACAGTACTATATGTGCAAATCACAGCAGGGATCCAATCTTCCTTTTTAAGTAAACTTGTTTAAGTTTAAAAAAAAAAAAACACTTTAAATAAAACATCAGTAGTAGTGAGTAGGCGGTGCGTGGACATGGCGCGAAGAGCGCCGACAGCTGCGGAGAGCCCGGGGCAGAGGCCGGGCGGGACTCCAGCCCCCGCACCTGCACCTTCGCTCAGGCTCTTCCTTTCCGAAATGCCTCCTTCCTCCTCCTCACCCCCGTTTCTACCTACTACTCATCACGGAAGCCAGCTTGAATAGCACTTTTTTTCCATGAAATGTTCTCCGCAGCTCCCAGCACGCGGTGCCTTTGCTGTTCCTCTTCCACACAGACGTGCGCAAGCAGCATGTGGGCCGGGGCTTGTGCAGCATGGCCAGGAGGCTTCTCCGCATGCGGGAAGCCCTTCCTGCTGCCAAGCTCCAACCCTGGGAAGCTGGGGGCACTGCTCACTGACTTGGGGGCGGGGGGTGACAGGGCTCTTCGTGGGCAGGAGCTGCTCCGTCCACCCAGTTACATGACACAATGGCAAGTCCCACCTCCCTCTGAAAGTGATAATACACATTTTCCATTGAAAAGGCCACTCCTGGGTGTCGCTCAGAAAAAGGTACCCTGTGGGCAGATCACAAACACTCTAATACATCGGACTTTCCAGATACTTTATCTGCATGGAGGTGAGCTAATAGCCACTCGGCACTTTCCCCTCTCCCACTCCCTCTGGCGTTTTGTCCAGTCTCATTTTTCAGAAATAATGAATGTTTTCACTTTACCAAAAAGAAAAAAAAGATCAAAAACAAAAACAAAAACAAAAAACCCACTTCCTACTGCAGTCCTCATTTGCAGAAACCAGCCACCTGCTCCCCTGCTCACGTTCTCTGGCCTCACCCTCTCCGACCACACTGCTTCCTATGTCAAGGGCAAGTCCTCGTCCCTGCCAACTGCTGACACCCTGCGTGTTTCTCACACCCTGTGCCATACTACCTCCTTCTTTTTTTTTTTATTTATTTATGATAGTCACATAGAGAGAGACAGAAGGAGAGAGGCAGAGACACAGGCAGAGGGAGAAGCAGGCTCCAGGTACGGGGAGCCCGATGTGGGATTCGATCCCGGGTCTCCAGGATCGCGCCCTGGGCCAAAGGCAGGCGCCAAACCACTGCGCCACCCAGGGATCCCCTACTACCTCCTTCTTAATCACTACCTAAGAATAAACTTCTCTTGTGTTCAGTAACACCCCCCACCTGACTTGAGTTTTGGGGGGGCAACAGCATGGTGCTGTGTAGCCAGCCCAGTCCCACCCGCCTCTCTGGGGGACCCCAGGTGAGTCTCTCCCTTCCTCTCATCTCTGAAGGCCACCCACTGCCTCACCTTCAACTTCATGTGTCTGAAACACATCCCTCTGACCCTCTCTCTAAAGCCACCCCTCGTTCCGACCCCCCTAGCCTCCCACTCCCCTGGCATCCTGGACACGTCTCCCCTCCCATGCAAGCTTCTTGGACCAGACCAGCTGAGGGGAGGTTCCCGTGGCCTGGCCTCCTACCGCTGTCAAGCACTGCCTTTCCCAATCACTTGGCTGCTCGGATTACCAAATCTGGCCACCCCACTACCGGAGTCATCTGGTAACGTTTGCTGAGATCCTAACAGGATCTCAGTTTTGTTTTTGTTTTGGGGTTTTTTTTTTTTTTATTGTCTTTCCCCTATGTGTGTGATCTGGGGAGGAGAATAATTCCAAGAACCCATATCCAGAGAACCAGAAGGCAGGAAGCTGAAGGGACCAGATCTCAGGTCAGTCAGGAGTGGTCCAAGATCCATCAGACAGATACCCTCAATCTAGGAAGGGACAAAGGGAGGGCTGGAGGTGGTTCCAGCTCAGCCACCAGAAGGTGGGAAGGTGGGAAGATGGCTTTGGCCATAAGGTCGTCCTGTGCCCTGGTGTCCTTGGGGTCCTGCCCACTCCCCAGGCTGGCCCTTAGCTGCCAACCAGTCCTGTGTAATCCTGTCCCAACACCCTTCCCACGTGGTTCTTTTAAAGTCAGCCAGAACTGAGGCCACCTGCTTGCTACCAAGATCCCTGATAGGCCCATCAAGTGTCCCGGGTACACCAGACCAGCGCGCTTCCCGACCTCCCATCCTCTGATGCACTATTTTCACTGCTGTGCCCCCTCTCCTGCCCTGTTCCTGAAGCCCTCATGGAGCAGCTATAGTCTGCAGATCTGTACAAACAGCCCAGGCTAAAGGAGTGTCCATGGATCCTATTGGCTCCAACATCCTGTGAATTTATGGTCATGTCAAAGTGCATGAGATAAAAGACAGACCCACACACTTCTGAGGCAATTATGTCCAGTCTTAGTCCCACCATTTTGATGACTTAAGAGAATTAATTAATAACATCACTCTTCCCTTCAGAATCCCAAACCCACTGAGAAAAAAAGACAGGCCTCAGCTACGTATCAAAGTAACCAGTTTTTTTGCAGTTGAGCTGGATCAGAGGCTGGGTCTTTCAATCCCATGGACCTGCAGTCAGCACCATGGGATGACCAGTTCTAAGAAGTGACGAGCATGGTCCTGGTCCCACCACCACTGTCTCTTCTGAGAGCAGGGTACCACCCAAACCAGGGCATGGGGTACCATGTCCAAACCAAGCCAAGGCCTATGGATTTTAGGTGCCTCCTGGATCCTTTCTACTTGGGAGCAGGGTGTCCCTCGGCCTTCCTTGTGGGTTGTGGCAAAGTTGCTCTGGTTGAGCTAGAAATAGGGAGCCTACAAATGTGTGGCTATCATTCGCCTGAGTGTGTGCTGGGCACTGCTCACTAGCTTGCTTCACTTCATCACTACAGGAGCTCTAGAACGCAAGTTATGAATATCATCTTTATACACAAGAAGCTTGGGGAGGTCCGAGAACTTACCCAGTGTTCCCATAGTTTAGCAGGGGTGCCCAGGCCTGCGTGACACCACATCCCAAGCTCTGGCACACGAAGCCACAGAGCGTCCACAATGCAGAGCGAGTGTTCCCTGTGAACACACCCTGCCATGTGCGGGGCTGAAACACCAAGGTCCTGGGGAGGACAGGATAGCTCTTTCTTTAGTGGGAAATGCCTTCCAACAGGACAATTAAAAAGCGGGGACTTGGGGCAGTGCATAGGCTGGGGTGGCACCAAACAAAAGGGAACACCATTCCTCTGATGAGCGGGGCTGCTTCAATTTGAGAGATTGCTTTTTCTGGCCACTTCTATATATATATATATATGATTTCCTTTTCTTGTAAAATTAGATTTTAGCTTAACCAACAAACCTCTTCTCACTCATCAGGGTTCCTGCTTCCCATCAGGCTACTAGAACCTAGGGCTCACTGCACACTCGGGCGGCAGGCACTCAGGAAGTCTGCTGCCCTAACTTCTGAGCAACAGTTTTGTTCCAAACTAGGTACTATAGATAGAAAATGCTATTTTTAGGCAGAGGAAATAACAGCAAAAAATAAGACCCCAAGGGACCAAACCACTTGTGGGCCAAGTCGCCCTCTCCTTTGCTGGGGCTGGCCAGGTGGTCCATCTGAGCGCAGCGCTAAGGACAGGGCAGGGCCAGCGCTGGACCACACACGGGTGCTGGGGCACACTGGGCCCAGAACATG